CTAAGAAATATTTATAGACTTTATTATAGGGTTATTACTAAGCGCTCGTAGTAATAGCGCCGAGTATAATTATATTTTAGTTATTATTTATTATATAATAAAGTTTACGAAGTTCTTACCCACTATTAAGATACTTAACGTAGTATAAATAGTAAATATTTTATATAAGGAGGTTAAATATAGGTTTAGTATGCCAAAAGGTATTATTATAAATAAAAATAAGCTCTTTATAAGCGTATTTTAAGAAGAGTTTATTAAGGAACGGGTAATATATTACTAACTATTTACTATATATTACTTATAAACGGACGGCTAAACGGAGCGGACTTATTAAATATTAGAAAAATACTTAAGGATTTACGCCGAGGGCTCGCTAAATAAGTAAGTAGTATAGTTAAAAGAGGCCGAGTTTATATATAATAATAGCCTATACTCTATTATAAAAATATCCCCATATATAGTACTATACGGCTACTACCCTAGGTATATTAAATATATACTTAATTATAAAGCTATAGTTTAGGGGGTTTATAAAAGGGTTTAGAAAATTAATAAGATTAGGGCCTAAGCTACGTAAGCCTGGGCATAAGCCTCTAAAAGCTAAGTAGCTTATTATAATAAAAAATATATTTTAAAAGAGTTTAATTATAAAGAGGTCGTCGGCTTATTAATAAAGAATATATATTTTAAAAATAATAAACTAGTACCGAAATATATTAAAATAGTAATAGTTAAAAGGGTAAGTAAATAGACTTATTAAGTATATCTACTAGAGTAGTATTAGAGAATATATAATATTTTCTTAGTTTCTTAGCTCGAACTATAAGGAAATTGCTAAACGGTTAGTAACTAAATAGTAAATTTCCTAGAGCTAGAAAACGAGTAAGATATTTAAGAAGTTAAAAAAATCGTCGTAAAGTAAAGTAAAAGAAAAAACTTACGTTATCTTATTAAATAAGCTAGGTAGCTTATAGAATATAATACGTAGGAGCTTATTAAGCATTTTAAAAGCGTAGTAGAAGTAGTTAAAAAATTCGAACGTTATAAAAAAAGGATATATATAAAATAGGATAATAAACGTTAAGTTCGTAATAAAAAGTTACTGAAAATAAGTTAATTAATAATACTTTATAGAACCCTTTTTATCTAGCCTAGCGTAACTCTTAAGAAAAAAATATAGTATTATAACCCTCGGTAATACGTTACTAAAGGATTGCTAAAATCTAGCTATATAAGGGGAGTAACTTATATAATATTAGTAGTAATAGTAGCGGCTCTAGCGTATACTTTTAAAGCATAATAGTTAGTAATAGTACTATACTTAGTAAGTAAAAAGTGGGGAGGCTTTGTATATATACTAAGCTAATTATTTAAAGTAAGACCGTTAACCTTATTAATATTATAATAGGTAAGAGGAAGGTAGTTAAAGTTACGTAGGTTATTATATATAATAATAGTAGCGGTTTATAGAGCGTTCGCTACTTAGTTACTACTAGGAGCTACGATAAGAGGTATAATAGGAGCTATAATAAGAAGTATAACGGGAGCTATAATAAGAGGTATAATAGGAGCTATAATAAGAGGTATAACGGGAACTACGATAGGAGGTATAACGGGAGTTATAATAAGAGGTATAATAAGAGGTAAAGTAAGGGGTATAATGCTATTATTATTACTAACGGGTTAGTAATAGTAGACGTTATTTAAGGCGCTACTCTTGTTCTCTAGGTCGAGCTAAGGGGCCTTAGTAATATTAATATTCGTAAAAAACTTACTAATATCGAACTATTAACTACGACCCGTAGCTTTAACCTTAGTTATAATAATAGCTACGTTAAGCTATTATAGAGCTTTTATTTAGAGCGGGAGGAGCATAATATTAACTATATTAAAATTTAGAATAATATAACTAAGGGCTAGGGAACCCTTATTTATACTAAAAAGAGCGGCGCGAGTAGGGGTTAGTAAGTTATTAATATTAAAATAGCGGCGCTTATTATAACGTTAAGAAAAAGAATTTTCTAAATTACTAAGGAGTTTTTTAGAGTCGTTATCCTCGTACTAGGACTTATTAAACTTAAACTTAAAGTCGTCCGGCTTATATTTATTATTAAGAATATAGTTAGTAATAAGAGTATACTTCTTAATAAGAGTCCGAGTCTCGGGACTATAGGAAATAGGGGTAGCGCTATATATAATAACGGTATAAGTAAGTACTTTATTTACTAAATACTTAGTAACGCGCTTATAAAAAGTAGGGAAATTAGGAAACTCCTAGATATGCGTAATAATAATACCCTAAGGAGTTTTTTTATAGTACTAAGTTAGAGTATCGAAGTTATTTTATAAAGCGGTCGCGCGGCTATTATTATAAAAATAAGCTAGCTAGAAATAACTAAGGCAAGAGATAATCTTAGCTTAGTTATTAATATTAATAATACTAGCCTAAAAAAAAATCCAAATTAGTAAAAAGAAATATTTGCTAAATAATTACTAATAACTTATTATAATCGAGATTAATAAGTTTAGATACTCGTAGTTAGTAATAAGTTTTTAGAGAATAGCTTATTCGAGGTAGATTTTTTTTTTCGTATTACTTACTAATAAGTTAGTAATATAAGTAGTAACCTTCTTTTACGCACTAGTAATATAGTTAAAAGTATAGAGAATATAGCCGCGCTTATAGGAATTAAGGTTACTTTATACCTTAGTATTATAGAACTCTATAAGGGTATTCTAAGTAAATTAGGTAGCGCTATATAGCTCCTTAGGAACTTAAAAGATATTATTAGCTAAATACTTTAGTAACGGATTAGCGAGGACTTAATAACTTATAGTAAAATACTTTTTCTTATTAACCTAATAAATAATATACTTAGTAATATAAGTACCAGTAATATAGACGAGCTCGTTAATATCGTAATATATACTAACTAAGTAGCGTATATAGGGAGTATTACTATAGAGACTATAGAAGCCTTTTTTAAGATTATATTCTATATTAAGTATATCCTAGATATATAAAATAGTAGATATTTTAGTAAATACTTAGTAATAGTATAATAAGAGAATTATAATTAAAAAACGATATAGAATTAGAATATTATAAAAAGAAAAGGTATAGTTATGTAGGAAAGAATTTATAGAACGGTTGCTAAATAAAAGGGGAGAAAAAATAAATAAATACGTAACTAGTAATAAGAGAAAATCTTTTATTTTACTCAATAACTTAGTAATAATAATAACCGCGAGGTTAAGTAGGCCCTTATATATTATAACGGTTAAAATACTTTACTACGAATACGTATTACTAACTTAATAACCGGTTAGCATACTATTACTAAATAATAATAATAAGGTATCTATTAAATAATAAGATAGGAGTAATACCTTATTCCTAAGTAAAAAAGGATATTATTAACGCTTTAAAGAATCTATTATAAATAACGACGTTAATAACTTTATTATTAACGTTAAAAAAAGATATTACGTAATAATTTTAGGGACTAAAGTTACGTAAGAGGGGAGTAATTATAATAAATTCGGGATATAACTGGCAATAGGATGCCGATAATTTAGTAACCGGTATACGGATCGTATTATAAAAGAACTTTCTAGGAAATAGAGCCTATATAAAGGACTTTATAAGCTTTAGTTTTATAATATACCTATACCTATATTATAGCCTTGCTAGTTAAGTACTTATAGCCTAATCTCTTATAAAATTAAATACTCTTAAATTAAAGACTCTTAGATTAAATACTCTTAAATTAGAAATTCTTAAATTAAATACTTTTAATTTAATTAAATACTCAAATTAAACACTCCTAATTTAATTAAATACTTAAATTAAATACTCTTAAATTAAATACTCAAATTAAACACTCTTAAATTAAATACTCAAATTAAACACTCAAATTAAATACTCAAATTAAATACTCAAATTAAATACTTAAATCAAACACTCAAATCAAACACTCAAATCAAATACTCAAATCAAACACTCAAATTAAACACTCAAATCAAACACTCAAATCAAACACTCAAATCAAACACTCAAATCAAACACTCAAATCAAACACTCAAATCAAACACTCAAATCAAACACTCAAATCAAACACTCAAATCAAACACTCAAATCAAACACTCAAATCAAACACTCAAATCAAACACTCAAATCAAACACTCAAATCAAACACTCAAATCAAACACTCAAATCAAACACCCTCAAATAAATAAACTTTTTTAATATTTTTAATTATACTTTAATTTAATTATTTACTTTTAATAAAGTACCTATTATTAATGCTAACAGTTTTAAGCTTTTTAAAATATAATATAAAAGAACTAGTTTGATACTTAATATTATAATAAATACCTCTTGCTTTATATAAATATATAAAGAATTTAACATTTTATTAAATTCATATTAAATAAAACATAACGTGTATAAATCTAATTTAAAAAGCAGTATTAATATTAAAATAATTATACTATTTAGAAAAAATACGCAATTTAACTAAACACGAGTTTTATTTAATAAAGCACTACAACATCGACCAACTTGATCCTAGCGACTAAAGAGAAAAAGACCATCTCTAATAAAGAAAATCAAAGGAAAAAGATTCCAGGATATATAATCGTCAACACGTAATGCTTGACAGAGACAAATGCCATCCCAACATTGCTAGACACAACATGATCCAGAGGTCATGCCAATACAGGGTGCTGTACTCCCCCAAACTCGCTGTGACAAGACAGATGTCTCTGTTCAACTCTTCCTACATGAACTTGCAGCCTGCAACATAATATGAAATCGTAGGCCTTCTGACTCAGCAACTTTCAGAATTGGCGGCAAGGTGATGTACCACCCGTAAATAGCATTATTGGGCAATGAAGCCCAGCCAGCTAGATAGGCCGCCGGACCAAGAGCTCTCAGGGCCTCGGTTACCGACAGCTAACGTATTCATGCCCTCAGCCGGGGCTCTTTGTGACCGACTTCAAAACGGGAAGAAGGACGGGTCTATGCCCATGTCAGGTTCAAACAAGACCTGGGGATTGATACTGTTGCAGTCGTCTGCGGGTGACGAAGTGACCTGAATCGCAGGCAAAAGCGCCGCTCCTGGTTCGCCTGACTGGACCCCAGGCTCTGTGTTTTGCCAATTCATTAAAGTGATCTCCTTGTTCTGGGCAATCGGCGGGAGTCTTGCCACGTGAGCTTGATACGAGGACCCATCTGGGTTGCAATAGTCCGAAGCTGAACCCATGAACATCCCGTCGTAGCGTTCTAGTCCAGGATTATTGGCTGAGCTCTGTGGCCACCCGAGCATCGAAGCAGTGTGCCGAGCAAGCACCGGTGATTTGACATTTTCTGCCCCGTTTGTCGCGCTAGAGGCCCCAAACATCGTCCCGTTTCCTATTGTCAGGCTCATCTGAGCGGCGTCGGACGAGTTGCTCGCTTCTTGACCATGATAGTTGTGCTTGAAGCTGCTTGAGTTGGCGCCGAAAGGCCCGTGTTGAGGACCACCATCGTGAGAGTGTGTTTGACTTTGGTCACAGAGACTTTGGGAACCGTTGACGGTCCGCACATCGCTCATGGAGCCGCGGATAAGCCTCATGCCATCAAAGGATGTTCTGGGAGTTGAAATTGGCCCAGCATCATTCGTTGAAAACCCAGATGGGTTGCCGCCGGCGGTATAACTGGTCGAGAAGCTTGATGCCTGGTCGAGCGTAGCAGGCTGAAGATGGCCGCTGATGTAGCGATCATTGCTGTTCGCACCTACAGCTTCCGGGTTAGCTCTTGGTCTCTTTACAGTACAGCAGCACTTACTTTGCGTCTGAGGCACTGCAGGGGATTGCTTCGGAGAAGTTCTGTGAAACCCAAGGTCGATATGGGCACGTTCTTGGCTGAGAAGCGGGTCCTTCTCCAAAAGTTTGTCGACAATCTTCTCCGCGGCCAGGAACTGAAATCCCCAGGGCCTCAATTCCTCGTCATCCACGAGAGCGACATTGCATTTGCCGAGATCTCCGTCAACTAGCCCACAGGCTCGGACAATACCGGTAGTGTATTCTTTCGGTTGAAAAATGCCAAACTTGGTGATGACATTGAGATGACCTCCGGGGCGCCAGGGTATTGGCCGTAACCCGAAACTCAGTGCTACGGCCTTGGAGAGCAGAGAAATCGGGCAGCTAGAATCGAATCGGGTGGCCAGGGGACCGAAACCTATACAGTTTGCGGTCGGCCCAATAGACAATGCGAACAGGTTGAGAAGTTTGGCCGTCCTTGGATCCTGAACCCAACGTACTCGTGGATCAGCTTCGTCGTGTTGGGAGCTCAAAGGCATCGAAGTTGGTGGTGAAGCGGAGAGGGGCTCGTGGCCCTTAGACCTCAACGGTCGGTTTAAGCCGTCCAGATCTGGTGTCTTTTCATACTTGACCGTCTTGGGAGTCCGCTTGCGAAGTATTGAATTGGGTTTCTGTTGGATGCGCTGACTATGAGAAGACTTCAAGTTTTGCCTTGGGGAGCTCTGGTAAACGGCGGAAACGTTTTGATGTCGTGCCTCTAGAGCAGAAGGCTGCGGCAGGTCATGAGCTCCGTTCGTCTCCGGTAACTGTATTTCCGAGGCGTTCGGGGTCAACGGACGTCTTCTATTGGCATTGCGTTGCTCCCAGAGCCCGTTTGTCTTCAGCAATCCTCTCATGGTAGGCCTTTGTGGCTGTGATGTTGTAGGGGGCTGCAGAACTCTGGTACTGTTCAACTTGCACTGAAAGTCTCCTATAGGAGCATGTTAGGCTGTCTTTCTATAGCTACGGAGGTGATCTCTTCCTAAAGTTAGGAACGATGCTTACAGGAATCCATGTGGCAGCGCAACGACGTGTTTTGAGTTATCTGCCGAAGTAGAAGAAGTACTAATGGGCCCGACCAGGTCGTCAGCTCCCGACCCCTCAGCCTTATCCTTTGCGAAAACGGGACGAGGTGGGTGTTGCGAAGCGTGGCAATCCTAGCAACAGATGGCTCTGCAGGATCGGGTTCATATACTTTGGCTTCTCAAGTAAATGAATAGACAGATGAGGTGAAAGGCAAAATCAGAACGAAACCGCAGTGAAGGGCAGGGAAGAGGATACGATAATATCAGGCCGGGAAGACGCAACCAAGTGGCCATGGAGAAGAAAACACCGCCACCCCGAGAGAATTGGAGCTTTGGATTTACAACAGAAAATGTAATTGATGGAACTGCAGAACGAGACACATTCGACGTTCCATAACAGCGGAAGCATCGGCGTCCAGTGAGGCTGTCGACGTGATAGTGCCTTGGTCGCCTTGCCCAGCCCCCAAGGCGTTCCTTATGGGACACGCTTGACGGCTATTCCCATACGCCCTGAGCTCATACAGTTATTACATGCAGATGGTTCAGTGTGCGTGATAATGAGAGGCCGGGGAAGATTCCGGGCGAGAAGCTGGTCGTACATTAGCTCGGTTAAGCTATTCTCAAAGCAGGCTGTATCCGTACAATAACAATGGCTACATGACAAGCCCGTGATCTCACGGTCCAGAAACGCTCCCATAGTCTGGGTTATGCCCGCTGTGGCATCAGCAACGGCGTCGGGCCCGGGGCACTTCTCAAGTTCATTCGGATTGGACGAGTAGCTGGTACGAAGGAAGTCGTTGATGCCCAATACTTTGCTGAGACGGGTGGTTGCAGATTGGGCCCTCCTCAGATATTCATGTCTTACCTTGTGCTTAGGTACTTGAGGGCCAGATTTCGGTGCAATATGCATGTGCAGGGGTCACCTGCAACCTCCCAATGGTAGATGCAAATACCTAATAATGTCCCGTCCTTAAGTGCTTTAGCAAGTGGAATTCTAGTCATACCCCTCCCGCTATAGTTATACCAATTACAATTACAATTGCCCGCCCTGGAATGATGATCCTGCAGGCCGAGTCAGACTTTCCGTTGTATTCAGCTGCGTGTTTCCAACTCCCGCCGGTCCCCCGTAACTCATCGGCCGGTTGCGACGACTCATCTTTCACGAGGTCTCCGAGGCGTGAAGTCATTTGCACGCCAGCCTCACTCACTTTCACCGAAACTGCGTTTACACGCTCATAACTCTAGCCGAGTAAATCAGCCGCGTTTTTAAAGCTTCATTTTCCTCAACTTCTCAACATAAAGTCGATGAGGTCCAGCAACTTCACAACAACCTCATCCCTTCCACCAATGGACTCCTTGCCTTCACATCCTACATCAAGGCAGCTCCATCGTCTACTACCTACTGCCAATGTTTAATTCATTCCTTATCCATCCTTCAATAACTCATCAACGCTGAACGACCATCACCATGTATCATTATGCGGGAGACGTCGACCTTCTGACATCCGACTTTCATCGCCCGACCAGCGCTCTTCAGACGCAATATGGACAACCACCTCCTTCACCCCCGACTGGAACCCACAAACACTCCACGACTGGAATCCACAAGCAATCCAAATCACCAACAAGTCCTCCAACCCCTCCTGAGTCTATGATTCAATGGAAAGCCTACCGGGTCCCCAAACCCAAGCTGTCAGGGTCCGAAGAGAGTGTCTTGTCCCAAGATCAAGTCTGTTCCCTAACATTTTCGGGCACTGAGAGCAAGACTGATCTCAGCTCTTCGTCTTTCTCGCAAAGGGACTGCGACTGCCAGCTGGTCGCAGTGAGCCCACTAGCTACTCACTTCTGTCAACAAACTCAGTTGCCTAGACCATGCCCGGTCTTCTCTGAGAATAGGCCTTCGAACTATCCGAGTGACCCCACTCAGCTTCTGATAAAGTTGGAAGCCCTTGAGATCAATCAGAAAGCTCAATCTAGTCAGTTGCAGCTGTGCGATGGAAGTGACGAGGCAGAAGATCTTGAAATGGTCTCACTCGATGGCTTTGGTTGGGAAGCCAGTGACTCTTTCAAAGATTTTCAACAAGACCCCGCCCACAATTTCTGGAGGTGGGATGAGGCTATACAACAATGGACTCATCAGGATGAAGACACTAAATCAGTGATATATTGTCCAGTAGAGCTGGACTAGGATCGCCAGGGGCATGCTTACGTGGGAATATCAACTTAGAGGAACGCATGAGAACTAGCGTTTGTTTTACAACATTTTTGCTTACAACCTGGCGTTCTCTAGATAGACACACCTCGGGGAATAATTGGGACCCAACCCGAATAGAGGCACAATGAGGGCGTAATGTTCATGGTGACTTCTTTCGGCTTACAGTCTTTTTTGATAAGATACATGCTTCTTCGCTCGAGACTCTCATCATGATAGCATGCGTGATTCTACCTACCCTCTTCAACGCTCTCATGTTCTCTCGAGAGCCAATCATCTTATGCCATAATGTATTCCATCGTAATCTGCCTCCATTGACGTCGCTATTGCCTCGATGGCTGAGCTTAAACCACACCACGATTTCAGGGCATCGCGACGCGTTGACAATGAGTCCTCATCCATCTAAGTGCCCCTATGCTATAGCGCATGAGCGTCTCATGACCGGTCTGTCCGACGACGCCACTAAAGTGCTGAGCAGATCCTGTAGATCACCGGCTGTAATATATGACTGCCTCGTGCACGATGATCCAATAGACTTCCAATCATGATACAGGGGTAACATTGACAGTCACGTTTGCGAAAGCTCTTCAATCAGGAAAAATTTAACAGACGACTAGTCTTTCAATCTGTTGAGCCGAAATCTGTGGTAGCTGTTCCCCTACTCCATGACTAGTCTCTGGAACCAAAAAGAGGAACGGGAACCTAGACACAGCATTGTCTTCATCGCTAGGACATGAAAACTCAAATCTCCATCAAAGAAACGACATGAAATGAGCCAACACTAGTCCAATTCGCGTGGTGCCCACAGCACCGATCCTGTGTGTTTGTCGACATGGTACCAATTCTCACTTTTGACAGACCAGCTCCAGAAGGCATGACCAGGGTCCATCTCGAAGTCTTCCTGGCTAGGACTGATCACATTTTCGGTCTTGCTGGTTCCAGTTGCCGGCTCGTTTTGCTGTTCTACTGGATCCCCGGCCCCGAGTGTTGTTGGAGACGATGGCCAAATTGGTGATGAAACCTTTTTGGAAAGTTGTGAACGAACAGCTAAAGGAACTAGGGATTCGACACTTCCCAAGATTGTCGGTTCTGTCCCAGGGAACGATACTGGAGAAGAGCACCCATTGCGTTGGGAAGATGTTCTGGACGTTCCAGACGTTCCAGACTGCCAAGTGCCATTCCGTGGTAGATGGCTATCGGACTTAGATGCCCTTGACTGTGTATCGTTGACTGACTGAGATCCAATCCTAAGGTCCATTAGTCTGGGTGCCGGTGGACTTGATGGCGAAATTCGTGGTGATCCGTCTACATCACACGCTTACTTAACAAGCTGTTGACTCGATGTAATCGGATCTTGATACTTACTTTGGTGGCGAATGCGACGTGAGATGTCCAGTGAGCAAAGGCTGTGGGTAGATATTCAATTGATCTCTAGATGGCTTGGATGATAGAAATAAGAAGCTTCTCCAATTCTCACGGAACTTTCGACGCTCTAGTAGTTGACTTTGGGGAGATAATGGGCCTCAGAGGTAAACAAAACAAGCCGAGGATTGAGTTTATTATCAATATCATGCATATTTTGCACATAACACACCGTTCGAAGTCACATCATGGCACAGGAAAGCCGGCACCCAAGTTTCTCAGGGCTGTAGCTATCATCCGACGTGTATTCCGTAGACGATCAGGGTCATTCCAGCCAAGCACCGGATACCAGCCGGTCTCCGCGACTACTTGTGACCCATTAAAGCCTTCTCGAGCCGAAGCATGTAGTGATTCTGAACGACATCTTGAGGTGTCACAAGGACGAGGGTGGGATATTCCCACCCCCGTAGGTACGGTACTTCTATCAAACGGGGCAAGCATTTCGGCGTGCATGTTGAGGGGTAAGGCTCAGAGCGCGCGAATCAAGGTACGGGGTTGGGATGACATCAATTGCGCCCGTCAATCCGCCTTGTGTTGCTACGTGAATGGATCGATCCTGTAGTCCTCTTCAAGACGTGCGTTGTCGTGGGCAACACCAACCATGGCTCAATGTGTCGTCACACCAAAATTGCACTTCATCCTGCGGGCTCCGGCTTGAATCGGTGTGAACCCTGTCTTTCACCGAGACCTTGCATGGAGCGGTGTCGAAATTACAATCGCTCATGCACAGCACGAGGAAATTCCATTCCAGCCGGTGCATCGCATGTAGAGTTGCGGTTCATTCGTGTGAACGAATCAGTGTCTGATCAGGAAGATACCCTGACCCTTGAAGACATCACTCCTCATTTGCCTGTGTGTACTGGCAGCCATCTGTGACAGCCTCACATCACTAGCCATCGCGACGACTGCCTGGAACCTATCCTTGCGGTCGCCTTCCTAGCGGCTCGCCTTGCTGGTGGTTCGCCATCCTCATGGTTCGCGTCATGGGGTTCAACGGCATTGCTTCGAACTTATAGCTCTCTCAATATTTATCGGAGGCTGCCGATATCAAGTGTGTATCACCTAAGTAGTTCGACTTTCCTAAGAGCTTGGTCTTATTGCTGGTCCATACCCGATAATCTTCGCTTCGATTCGCTCCTTTGAGACACCATCTGTGTACAACCTCATTTCAACAAGACGATTTTATTAATAATACCAAACACATACTTCTAGGTTCGTAGGATACTACTAGCGTGAAAACATCTTGATCTCTGACTTTTACCCAGTTTAGACTCCCAAACCTCGCGACTCCAAAACGTGCCTGACCGAAATCCCGGGCAAAGACACGAACCTCGAGCACCAACCGAACACTCGGCGAATCGTGTGTAGAAAGAAGAATTGGAGAACAACATTGCCATTATGAGTTACAACGAGCAGCTGAACGAGGGCCATCATGGCCCGCCATCAACGCCGGCAGGCCAACCACCACCTAACCGAAATGGAAGCATCCCCGCAGGGTCTGGATCTATTAGCGTGCCAGGGTCGAACTTGCTTCCGATGGTGGACCTGGAGTCTTTGAGTCCCCAGCAGACCATCAATATGGAAGCAAAGAATGACCAAGGCTTGTTTGAGACGGTCCTCGCGGCTAGTACTGGTCTCGACTACTCTTATGCTAGTTCCAGCACCGTAGCTACCCTTGGACTCCGCAAGCTGCCTCTGTCCCCTACCCATAACAGGCGCCTCTTCCACACACCCTTCGGTATCATGATGCTCAAAGACTTCGCCTCCTTCACAGTTCGAGTACCCGAGGCTAACGTGCCGGAAGTCGACGTCAATGTCGCCGTGCTTGGCCCGGAATACTGCTGGAAGGATGTTGAGATTTTCTTCGGCATGAATCTTTCGAGGAAGATGGCGGAAGCTAGGGCGCATTCGGCCTCTAACGACACTGTTCCCGAGAGGGAGCAGCTCGAGATAAACGGAGACGTACCTGCGCTTCCGCCTGAGATAGGTGAGGTGCCTCTGTCAGCATCGAGACGAATCATTGGGATCGATACCATCGCCGCGGTCCATAGTGCAATCAGTCACGGACGTGCCGGCCGTCGGGTGGGTCGACCAGTCGCCGATGCGGACCTTACTATCCGGACCACCGATCTGATGTTAGTGGAGCCCGCCGCCGGCCACTCCCGATCCACTAGTGGACTAGGAGCGACACCCGTTTTCACAACCGGCGGCACTACTGGGTCATCCCCCCCTTCAACGTATGCACTGGATCGGTCTAGGAACTCGTACCACTCCTCGCAATGTGAACAACTGGCCCCTATCGGCGACTCCCTTGATGTCCTCGAGCCAGGTACCTCACCTGGCGGAGAGGATGACAAATGAACAAGTTGAGTCATCACGATGCCGCTTGCGGTCATTGTAATCACTAACAGCAAGGCAGCTTTTGATACCTGGATTGGCATCGCCTATGCGCGCAAATTAGATTGAAGAAGCGATCTCGAAAGTGACACATTGCTGGAAAGGTTCCGGGCTTATGTAGTGCTACGACGAGCCATATACGTATTAGTTGCAGACCAGATACCGAGTAGGCTTTCGGATCATCTTCTCAAACGTAATGTGTTAGTTTGAGGAGTCGTATCCTATTAGTAGCATCGGACAAATTGGACCAATGGGCGCTTGTTTAGTTACATGTTCAAAATAAGGTATCCGCAACTATCAAAGCTAACGGACATTGTCAATATAAAGCGCTTCTTCCCGAGAACAGTAACCTGGACGAGAACAGAAGCAGGGCAGGTTTGAAACCACTTGATTAAGTGACCTTCAGGAGGTATGTTTCCTAGGCCAACATATTTTACTAATGACCCAACGCGGCAGATGAAAGAATGACATCATATGAGGAGACCGCCTCTCACGAGAAGTAATTGCACAGTTCCCATCTCAGTCTCCATTGCGAGGCACCTCCAGCGGTAGCCTCAGAAAGAGTACATCATTCAGATAGTCAAGCATCAGTAAAAGATATCCAGCTTAAGCCACAATACAAGAAGCATGCCTGTGCCCCAGTTACCACCAAATTGATGCACTCTTTATGAGGAGATTGGGCAGAATTCCGTCTACAGCTAATCCTACGGTCGTCTTGAGGTGAAGTTGCAATGCTGGACGTTTCCTGACTCAGCAAAGAACCAGTCCCAGAAACAACGTTTCAACCCGCATCGACAAGCTTTCCCCAGATCGTCCCAAGGACCACTGAAACAAGTTGCCCCTGCCTCGTACCCGTCGGCAAGCGGCAAGCGTCGATCTTTCCTGACATCATGGTTCTGATACTCACCTGTTGATCTGTGTTGCTTGAAAATGTGTTTGGGAGAGCCTCGGTTTATTCAACAACACGACGGTCAGTCGGTCCGGTCCGCATGTGGACTTGCGTCCGACCATTGACCCCATCTGTGCCACTGCCTCATCACATAGTCGATTTGTCACGCGGGGATACGAATGGTGCGATAAAAATGTGTCATAAGACGGAGTGTTCTTTTCGTTTCCCCAAAGCCTATGGCCTATGATGGACGTTTATGCTGTGAGGCAATTACACAAGAAGAAACATCTTCCCGCGCCTCCTTGATCCAAACGCCAGGACTTGTTAAAACGAGGTTTGGTCGTTATCATTAAGGACGTCGTTGGAAAGCAGGATGAGAAAGGACCATCCGGAGTATCATGAAAAAGCAATAGGATCTTGCGGTGGCGTTTGTTCTCCTCCACTATCCCCTTTGTACCTGCATCAGGTATGCATTTTGGTTCGATCATGCTTTGAATGGAAAGCATTTGGGTATTCGGGTTTGCACCAGGTTCGCGTTCGAGCCGTCGGTTCAGCTTACTCACGCATCTTCACGTAGTTGCTGGGGAAGATGCCGTGTCTCGTTCCGATCATGCCGGTCCTGTCGTGAATGTCAGCTTTACACCCGTAAAACAAAGAAACACCCTTTCACATACCACCAGTCAGTCTCGCTCTCGGTCTTCTTCAGCACCGTGATAACGTCGCCCTTCTTGAATCCTAGATCACCAGGCTGGTCGGCATCAAATGTGAACAGCGCAACGGCCTCGTTCTTCTTGAGCATGGCCGCCTTGCCAGTGAAGTTCGGCTTGGGAGCAGCCGGTCTACCAGGGGGACCCGTCTTCTGATCGTTGAGGCCGAAGTTGGGCGATGGGTTGTCTCTGTAGACGTATTCGTCATTGCCTCTTGAAGCAAATGTGTTGGAGCGTGAGACTCCAGTGTTGGAACGCGAAACTCCACCGAAACCGCCTCCAGCAGGTCTATCATAGACATCGTCCTGCCATGTGCTGGATCTCTTGGGTCCTCCAAACTCGCTGGCGCCACTATCTCCACCACCAAACACACTGCTGCGGTTGTTGTTTCCAAACTCTCGGCTGTTGTTGCCGTTCCAATCGTCCTGGCCCTGGCCCTGGTCGTAAACGGGAATGTCGTTGTACATGGAATCGTTAGCCTGACCGGTGCGGCCGGCATTGAAGGCGCGGGAGTTGAGGATGTTCATCAGGGGCGCGGCCTGGGGCGGGGAGCGGACGCTGCCGGTCAAGATCTGGGCGGCGGTGTAGCGGGTGCCGTACAGCTTCTCGTTGGCGTCGCGGCGCTCGATGATCACGGAGCCCTCCAGCGAAACACCGGCGAAAAGACCCTTGGTCTTGGAGTAGGAGAATATACCGGCAACACTCTTCAGGGAAGCGGCACCGGCGGCCTCGGCGTTGCGGCCCACGGGACCAGCGGCGATGGAAACGTTTCCACCAAGCGTAAGCGAACCAGCCTGCGCGAAGGTCTTGACGGCACTCGCATCGTTCAGAATAAAGACGAAGTCGGTCAACTCAAAACCAATCTGTCCACCAAATCCCGCACCTGCCGTGCCGATAGCGCTTGGCGCACTCCATGATCCATCAGGAAGTCGCGAAACGACGAGACCGCTACCGAAGCGGCCGGAACCGAGGAAACCGGCCTTGAGGACGGTGAGAATCGCAAGACCCTAATTACACGCATTATCTGTCAGTATCGCATCGGCTTGGGGGTGGTTATCGTGAGCGGTGGGAGGCCTCTGGGCATCGAATGCGCCAAGGCAGGCGGGGGATGGCAGATCGCGGGGTGGGAAATATGGCTCACCTTCGCGTTGGCGAGGACGGAGGGAGGAATGATCTTGTCGGGGCTGAAGGCTTGACGAGGGTCGATAAACGACGTCAGGATCTTGCCGCACTTTTTGCATTCCGCTATTGTGGTTCGGTCAGCTCATCTGTTGCGACTGAACAGGATGACGGGTGCGATGGTGCAGCGGGATCACCGGCACCAGCCACAAAATAATGGGTGGACTTACACGCCATAGACGACGGGAGCGGGTTGTGGAGGCCCATGCTGACGGTGTCGAGAGAGAGGAATTACGATTGAGTGGGATGTTTTTTCCTCAAGATTCGGTCGGGGAGGAAGAAAGAGTGAAAAGGGTGTCGAGGGTTGGAGGTGAAGAGAGGGAAAGAAGAAAGAGAGACACGAAAAGGTGAAAGCGTGTGCCTGGGATTGCGATTAGGTATCCGTAGGTCAAGTAGGTATTACGGATACGGTTTCTTGGGGATCCTTCCTCGTCCACGGTTCCCGCAGTAAGGTAGCTGCGTGCACCCACCTCCACGTAATTAACGATTTAGTGGGGTTGTGCCGCGATAGGTGAGGATGAGAGCCGCCGAGAGGCCTGCGCCTCTTCTAAAGTTCTTTCCTTCGTCGGTTGCTATGTGCCGTGAGCTTTGCTTTGCTTTTCTCCTAGTCTCATTAGGCACGTCTTGTTAATCTTATTAATCCCGTTGGGCTTGGCGGATGGAAAGTGTTCCGGGAGGAAGGAGAATGGGCATCAATTGTTGTTTTCTTTCCTGCTTTCTGCTTCTTTTTAAGCTTTCATGGCTTTTCAGCCGAACTCTCGTATCGGACGACGCAGGTTCATCAAACAAACGAAGCGCAATAATTCATCGATATCCACTCGAGCGCGTCATCTCAGCTGGTAGAAGCTTTCAAATCATGAATACTTCTTCTCGAGTGCCAGGTGACATGCCCCTTCATTATCTCCGGGCTGGGATAGCCGTAGCAAAAATTCGAGAAATCACGGACCATGGACCGGGGGAGCTTGGTGTAAGCTGGGCTCTGGCTGCCCTGGTGAGGCGGCGCAAAGGAGGCGTGACCTGGACGGAGTGAGGTAATTCGCGGGGTACTTCTGAAGTCCTGTCTGTTCGGGTTCGGCGCCAGTGTGGCGCAGGCCACTGACGCGCAACCCCCACCGTCAAGGATGGCGTTCCGAGCAGCGCGCGCCCACACCAGCGGGCAGCAGCGATGGACGCCTCGGCCGCGCAGTGACCACCTGCTGCTGACGGGACTGGCAGTGGCCCACCCGGCTCCAGTTCCATCCGCGCAGTTCCAGCCTCGCCTTTGTGAGGAAAGACGCACCGGCCCCCGAAACCTCCGCCGTCATTGGTTTCGCCGCCAGAATTGACCATTTTTGCAACTTCATCACCAAACCTCACGAACCACGAACTACCAACCACAAACCATCGCGCACCACATCCGACTCCTCTCCTCTTCTAACGAAGCAGTCACCGCTAGGAGGACGCTCATCAATCTACGAGAAAAGTGCGGCGTTAGATCGTGGCATAGTCGTCTCTCAACGACTGCAACCACACGCCACCTTCAGAGACCGACGATCTCGCACGCGCGGCAACTCGCCATAAGCCTCAGCGGCGAGGAACGACACCCAGAAAACAACCCGCACTACTCGGGTGCTGGGATTTACTTTGCCACCGCCGGTTCTCATCAAGTCTCATCGAAGAACTTTCGTACCCCTATTCCCTAGAGGAAAAGAACAAGGAAACTCTGCCAAAATGTCAGAAGCCTACGAGCGCGAACGCCAAAACAACGCCCGTCTCGACGAGCTCTCAGCAAAGGTCTCCGCCCTCAGAGGCGTGACCGTCGACATCTACGACAATGCGCGCGCCCACGAGGTCATTGACAGCACGGTATGTTCCCTCGTCGCCTTGTCTTTTCGCTTCGCTTTCCTTTCCTGAACCCCCTTTTTCAACATTTCGTTGGCAAGATACCCCTGGTATTACATGATGAGGAACATTGGTCCGTGTTTCGGAGGCAGCCTCAAGACCTGCTGTTTGACGACAGAACCAGCACTTTGTGCAACTCTGACCCCTACCGTCCTGCCCATATTCTGTCCATCAAGTCATCAGTCTTTCCGTGAGATAGGCCACTGACGATCATGGCTCCATCTAGTCCGAGACGTTCTCATCCATGTCGACCCAGCTCAAGGGCTCCGCCGGCCGGTTAACGCGCATGGCCGCCTCTGGAAACAAGGTCGCCATCCTCAAGCTGTCAGGCATCATCATTGGCATCTTTATCGTCCTTTACTACATCGCCAAGCTGTTCTTCTAAGAAGGAGGAACACGAAACAGACTAAATTTTACGACAAGCAGGCAGAGAACTGGGTAGCATGGGGGAAATCAATGACAAGGAGAGCAGAGCACATCGGCCGCCAAGGGAGAACTGAGTTTTTCTCGTATTTAAACAACGGAGTAAAGGGGGAGGTCCAATCCGACATCGGGGCCTCGGCATCAAACATGAAGGGAAACAAACATAACGGGAGTATTCAGATATATGACGGGCGTGGATGTTCAAATACCCTGCGCATGGAATCGGAGTTTGGGGGGTAGCACGGCGGCGACTGATTGTATCATCACTAGCAGCAAACTTGAGCAAGGCGTGCACTTTGTTTTTGCGTTTTGAGGATTGGAGATTTCCATCTTTTGCTTCAAGGTTTCTGGTAAATTCTTCATCTATGACGCTTTTGCAATTGAATTACAGATGCCATGAGACTCTCTCGTTCTCTCTCTCCTGCCCTGCCTCCAAACATGTCGTCACGTTTTTCATCGAGTGTCTATGTGCCAAAACGCAAATGATGTGCACTGTGATAGGTTGCAAAAACGCTCGTCCTATCTACCCCAGAGGCCCATGCCGCCCAAGATGTTCTCGCAATTTACTGCATTTACTGCCAAACATTGGAGAAGAGGTCCTCGCTGCCGCCTCCGATAGGCTTTGAAGAACCAGAGCCGGCGGCGGGCTCGGTGCTGCTCGTCCATCCACCAAACTCCTCGTCCGCCGCAACCTTGGGTGCGGCGCTGAAGCCGCCAGACGCTCCGGGAACGATTGGTGTGTTGGCGAATGAGTTGGAGGAGAGGCCTCCAGAGGAGCCCCATCCGCCAAAGTCGCCTCCGAGGGAGGGCTTGGGCGCTTCCGCGGCCTTGGGGGCCGCGGGTGCAGCGGCAGCCGTGGTCGCGTCGGGCGTGCTCCAGGCGTTGGAGCCCCAGACGTCGGATCCAGACCAGTTTCCTGAGCTGATTGTGCTGGTGGCAGCAGGTGTGGGAGCGGGGGAAGGTGCCTTGGGTTGAGAGAGGTTGAACACGGAGCTGGATGCGGGAGCGGGAGAGGGTTTGCTCGGGGCGGCGGCGGGTTGGGAAGGAGCCGAGAGGTCGAACAGATCTCCCATGGAAGACGTTGGCTGAGCGGGCTTAGGCTGGGCTGCAGCCGGGGCAGGGGAGCTGGACCAGCCAAATCCGCCGAAGCCGCTGTTGGACGGCTGCTTCTGGTGCGCAGCGGGCGCGGGTGCCGCTGCGGGCTTGGAGTCGAAGAAGCTTCCGCCGCTGAGACCTCCAAAGGCGCTTGATGACGATGCAGGCGGTGGTGATCTCGTGCTGCTCACCGGGCTTGACAGGCTCGCGAACGGGTCTGCCGCGGCAGGCTTGGGGCTGGTTGTGTTGTTGGAGAAGCTGAGGCTGCTGAAAGCGTCATTCATGCCTCCAAAGGACTGCTGCTGCTGGTGGCCAAAGGTGGGCGAGGGCATGCCGCCGAATGCGCCGCCTTGAGCCTGGGGCGCTTGCTGCTGCTGCTGGGGTTGCGGTCGCGGGGCAGAGGCATACAGGGACAGAATGGATTGCTTGAGGTCTGGCCTGGAGGGTCCTCCCATTCCACCGGTGTTGCTGGTGCTGGCTGGCCGAGGGGGGGCGGCGGGCTCGCCAAAGAAGTCCAAGCCCAGGAGAGAATCCTTGGTGCTCGTGGCCTTGGGAGGAGCGGGATCGGATTTCGGGGGTACCTTGCCGGGCTGGGGGCCGGCGGTGCTCGCTCTGGGGATGGGATCATCGCCGCCGATAAGATCGATTTGCGGCTGCGGGGCAGCGACGTTTCTTGGGGGCGCGGCGGACTTGCCGACCGAACTCTTGCGAACCGATTCTCTGCGCTCGACATTCTGCTTCTCCTTAACCAGGCTCAAGGGGACATCGTCGTCACCGTCTACGTCGAGGCTGGCGGGGTCGGGAATGGGGCCGTCCATTGTCCACCTCTTGAGCTCGTACTTGGTGCGGATAAAGTTCTCAATCTTGGATTCCGAGGGAACGTGGCCGGGCGCCAGCTTGGCCTCCCAATATTTGTTCGCGCGCGCATTGCCCCAGCTGAGGATGCTTCGGAGCTGCTCGTCGGTCCAGGAGTCGAGATCGACAGACTTGACTCTGCTAATGTGCGTACCCATGCCACGGTGAATGCCTGAACACCGGATGCAGATAAAGACACCGAGGTTCCAGCTGGCCCATCGCGGGTCTGCAATCATGACACAGTCAGCGGGAATCCCCGATTGAATGAAGATCGAATTGCCTGAGACTTACGCTTGTTCTTTTTGCAATCGGAGCATACTTTGTTGCACTCCAGTTTCAAGAGGCTCTTGATGGTCTGCTGGTTTTGGGCCGCTCTCTCGGCGGCGGGATTGGGCGGTCTTCTAGACATGGTGGCCTTTGATCGTTTTGTGGGAGGTGGACGGCGGGAGGTGATGGAGGGAGATTGAAGCAATGATTCGACGGATGGCTCTTATTTCGTCGTGGCGGCAGATGTAGTCGGAGAAAAGGGGACGCAGCGCAGGATCGCAAAGTTGACAACCTGGACCTTGAATGCCGTGGGCCTGCGATTGATATTATGAATTGCCTACAGACTCCACGCGGCGCTGATACCGGCCAGGTAAGGGGCAACTGGGGTCGAGACCGTAGAATTCGTCCCTGCCTAAGGCAGTGATGACGGCAGTGGAGGTGGGGTCCTCAGACTGTGGTGACATGCTTTGGCAGGTGCCTGCGGTTCAGTGGCAGGTGCCCATATATTGCAAGTCGGTTGCGTCTAAGTCATGTATTCTTGGGCCTTCGTGGCTAAGTCTTCATTCAATGCATCCTCCACGGCCGAAGCCCGGTCATTGTATCTCTCTTGAGATTGTTCATTTTCTTTCAGATATGGAGAATCTCACTGGTGCAAATCATCACCGTAGTACAAGATCTAATTACCTGAGTACGTCGCGAAGTCTTGGCCTAGAGCATTCTTGCACTAGGTCCATGTGAAGAGAGTTTAGAAGAGAGAAGGTGATGCGTGGAAGAAGTAAAAGATAAGATAGGAGGTCTAACGTTTGACTCGTTTCTATCGTACACAACTGGCAAGTCCTTGATGCCACTCTGTTGCAATCCGATGGGCTACCACCTCGATACCTCCAATATGTTGGAATCATGTAGGTTTTAGGGTAGGCAGCCGAGGACTTGCTGCTTCCGCCGTCGAGCTTTAGTAGCTGCCTAAATGCAGGATGACGGAAAGTGCAATTGAGTTGGTTGTTGAAACCATCTGGCCATTGCTGGCTTACATGCAAACTACTATATGGACACATACTCCTCTACTCAAATGGTGTGGTCAATGGGAAGACGAGCACTTGGGACTTGAGCGTGGTAGAGCCGACTGAAGACCGCTTCAACTAGCAGAAGCCTTGCCCACACACACACACACACACACACACACACACACACACACACACACACACATATTCTCTCTCCCACATACATGAATGCTGGCGTGCGGAGTAGCATGCAAGTTTCTAGTCAGTCTTCCGTCAATAATAGCAGTTTGACCTGTAGGGTTAGAGGCCGCCCTTACGACCGACATCAGAATTAGCAGAATGAGTATATCTTCCGGAATGAACAGGTTCTTTCCAGACCATCCAGGTTTCCCTGGTTCTCTCGCGAGAATATGATGGCTTCACCACTACCTTGATGGACCACCCAACGGCAAGGGCGCCAGCAGATCTCGTCTCGGACCTGCAACAGCACCCAAGATCACCGCCTTGTGCCACGTCGTGTGGGTTGCAGTCCGCCTGGAAGCTCAGCGCTCCTCCAATCGAGGATACGTCGGCAGCGCTTGCTCCAAGCAGCATGGATGGCTGCAAACATGTCGCAGAGCGAAAAAGGCCGGAGCATGTAAACCGCCCAGTAAAGTTGCGGGGGCGGGACGCCGGTGCATTAGCTGAACGTGGGGGAAGTGAGGGGTCGCTCGTCCGCGACTTGGACTCGCACCTTAATCCGTCGCATCTTGAGGCCTCTCGAACAGATCCTCTCTTTGCCATAGGCAGGATGTCTCTCGCGTCCGC